CTGATTGTCCAAATTGAAGAATTGTTTCACTTGTGGAAAGAGAAGTTATTGAAGATCATGCTAAGGAGGATACAATAGGTGAGGAAGAAATGCTTGATGAGGACATAATAGAAGAAGTACATGTTGATAACGGAGAATCCCTTGTGGTGTGTCGCAATCTTAGCACTATTATGATGACCGAAAATGAAAGTTGGCTTTGTCACAATATTTTCCATGCAAGGTGCATATCCAAAGGGAAGGTTTGTAACGTCATTATTGACGGGGGTAGCTGTGAAAATGTTGTAGCCAATTATATGGTAGAGAGATTGAAGCTTCCAACCATAGCACATCTTCATCCTTATAAACTGCAATGGTTGAGAAAATGAAACGAAGTCAAGGTGTCCAAGCGTTGTTGTGTTTGATTTTCTGTTGGGGATAAGTATTAAGATGAAGTTAGGTATGATGTTGTTATGATGGATGCTTACCACTTATTATTGGGACACCCATGGAAATATGACCGTCAAGCTTTCTATGATGGATACAAGAACACGTATTCTTTCAAAAATGATGGTGTAAGGGTAATGTTGACCCTAATGAGACCAAAAAAATCGTTTGAAGAAACTAAATGAGTTTGCAGCATTTATCACGAGATCTAGTCTTAAGAAAGCTTGTCGGGAAATAAACCAAGTGTGTTTGTTACTATTGTCCAAAGAAAATGAAGTATCTCTTGCCTTGCCTGAGGAAGTCAAGCACTTACTTCAAGAATTCTCTAATGTTGTGCCGGATGAGATACCGCCAGGGTTGCCACCAATGCAAGATATTCAACATGCTATTGATTTCATTCTTGGCTCTATCATTCCAAATAAACCAGTGTACCGCATGAATCCTAAAGAACATGAGAAGCTACAATGCCAAGTTAAGTAGCTTTTAGAGAAAGGCCTAGTAAGAGAAAGTGTCAATCCATGTGCAGCCCCTGCTTTACTAGTTCCAAAGAAAGATGGGACTTGGCGTATGTGCATCGATAGTCGTGTTGTGAACAAAATTACTATCAAGTATCGTTTCCCTATTCCTCGGCATGATGACTTGCTGGATTAGTTGCATGGAGTCACCGTTTTTTTTTTTTTTTTTTTTTTTTTTTTTTTTTTTTTCCAAAATAGACCTACGAAATGGCTATCATCAAATTCGAATGCGGGTTGGGGATGAATGGAAGACTGTATTCAAAACTCAAGATAGGCTATACGAATGGACAATTATGTCTTTTGGCCTCTCCAATGCCCAACACCTTTATGCACCTCATGAATCCAAATTTTTTAATTATATTTATGTTGACTTTTTTTTGTCCCACATGGGAGAGATATGCTTTAACTTTTCACTTGGAAGGCTATAAATAAAGCCTTACTTTGTCCTTTGTACTTATCCCTTAATATTATTTAATATATTTTGAGTTAAAACATTTGCTTTCTCTAGGTTTTAGTTATCCTTGGCTTAGCCAACCAAGGTGGCCTTTTGGCTATTCACGCCATAGTAGGGTTTATTCTAACCTCACCACAATTGGCAGCCATAGTGGGGTTTTCAACCTCGCCAAGATTGGGATTTCTCACGATGTCCCGACGCCACTAAGTCTCATTTAATTAAAAAAATTGACTATTTTTGTAACGGCCGTGAGCCAAGCTCCATTCCCCCCTTAACCCTTCACGAGTTCAGGCCGAGCTAGCTATCAACGACTCGGCTCGACTTGGCTAGAACTCGTTTAACCCTTCCCCCCTCACGAGTTGAGCTTGTTTAGTCAAATACTCAACTCGATTTAGCTCCTTAACAGGCCTTGACTTGAGCGAAGCCTTGGCAACAAATTGGTCAAATATCAAGTGAAAGAGTCTCAAATGCCCAGTGAATTTCCTATAAACAATATTCCTTGGGAGAGCAAGATGAAAATTACAGTGCGATTACTAGTTTACTATCCTTTTATAGATGTGAGAGAGTTCAAATGATTAACATTTTATCACATTGGTAACTATACGATAATGTTGTTATATCTTATCGTAATCTATTATCATTTTGTTTTTCCATAACGTTGATGCCTAAAATCTAAATTAAAAATTCAATAAGTATCTTAAAGAAATATATTATATAGTATATGATTATCTTATCATATTTTATTTTATAACTTTATTTTCCTATATTATTGATGTATTTATTGTTGAAATTTTAATACAAATAAAGCAACAAAACAGTGGAAGAACAACAAAATAGTAGAACAGCAGTAAAACAACAAGAAAACAACAACAATATAGCAGCGAGAATAGCAGGAAAAACTGCAGCAAGAATAGTAGGAAAACAACAGCAAGACATTAGTGAGAATAGTAAGAAAATAGTAGCAAAATAGTAATGATACAGCAGTGAAACAGCAACAAACACAGCAGCAAAATAGCAGCAAAACAATAACAATGCAGCAATGTCAAGGCGTGCAAAAGCACTGTCCTTAAGATCAAAATTCTGCCTCTACTAAAAGTATCTTTGTGGTGCAAAAAGGTCAATAGCAGACTGACCTCTAGGATACAATGACGAATCTCTTTTTGAAGTGCACTCTCTAAGAGAGATTTAGAATAGGATAAGGAATGTAACAGTGGTGAAGGAGAGCTGGAAAGTTAAAAAACACAGAGGAAACAAGGATTTTTCAAGTGAAAATTATGTTTTTCAAATGAGAAAACCACCCCTTTTTATACTTGAAAATCTGCCCGTTTTCCCTTAACTCATTCTTGTTGTAACCAAAGTCAATCAATTGCTTTTAAAATCATAACAGCCCAAGAATGATTTGAATTGCAATAACTGCAGCAATTCAATTGCTTTTAATACATAACAATCCAAAAATCAATCAAAATATTCAATTGCTTTTAACACATAACAGTTCAAAAGCAATTAAAACTTGGTATTTTGAAATACCATAATAGCAGCTATTATCACAATCCCCCACATATTTCAAAATAACCAATCACCATTGATTATAGAGTTAAATATTTATGAGTTGGTGTCTTTCGGACTATGAACCAATCATTGAGTAACTAAACGCGAGTTACAAAAATTTGGTGAAACTAAGTTTCTATGAACCAAAAATTTATTTATGTAATTCAGAAGATTAGTTCCTCACGCTAAATTCTCTATATTGTATACTGTTCTGCGGTTTAGCACTTTATGGCCCTGTGCTAGCATGGATTTCATGAGTGCTCTAAAGATGTTTGCCTAAGCTTTCATGGGAATCAACCCAATTCCACACGCACATAGGTGAACCTCCATAAGGTGTGAATTATAGTTTTTCACACCACCATTTATATTGGCTATGAATTTCATTAAGATTAATTCTACTCAATCTTATTCACTGCAATCAATATTATCTCGCCACAAGGAGGACTTTCTATATAAAATTCAATAATACTTATCAAGACAACAAGTGACTTGTTATTACCCTTATGAACCTACTTCCTAGTATCTCCAATCACATAGGTAGGGTTACCATCACTCTTGCCTTATGCTTTAGGCATAAGTCTCATCCCCCTGGACGTGTATTCCACTAATCTCCTACTTAGTGGTTTAGTCAGAGGATCGGCCAAATTTAACTCTGACTTCACAAAATCTAGGCTCACTACCCCAGATTCTAGCAATTGCTTTATAATGGTATGTCTTATCTGGATATGTCTATTTTCCCATTATAAATTTTGCTTTTTGCTTTTTGCTGTTGCTATTGCGACTTGACAATCACAATGGATTGATACTGAAACAGGAGGGTAAGTTTCAATGGGAAGATCTACTAAGAAATTCCTTAACCACCCAGCCTTAGAACATGCCTTTCTAAGGCGATAAGCTTAGACTCCATGGTAGACTGAGCTATGCAAGTTTTTTTGGAAGACTTCCATGACATAGCACTTCCACCAAGTGTAAAGATACAACCACTTGTGGATTTTGTTTCATCTGAATATAATATCCAATTGCCATCGGAATATCCTTCTAATATAGGTGGTGTACTTCCAAACGTTAGCCCATAATCAATGGTGCCCTTCAAATATCTAGCAACTTTGTCTAATGCTATCCAGTGACTCTTATCAGGATTATGAGTATACCTACTCAATCTAGTGACATCATAAGCAATATCAGGCCTCGTACTATTCATTAAGTACATAAGGCTACCAATGATTTGGGCATATCTATTTTGACTCACACTGTGTTGTGTATTTTTCTTTAAGTTGAGTATTTCCATCATAAGGAGTTGAGACGGGTTTACTGTCTAAATACCCAAATTTTCTTAAGAAATTTTCAACATAGTTTTGTTGTGATAACTTAAGACCATCATTTATCTTATTGATTTTAATCCCAAGAATAACATTTGCCTCTCCCATATCTTTCATATCAAAATTTGAGGCAAGAAACTCTTTAGTCTTAATTATCACATTCATATTAGCACTAAATATTAACATGTCATCAACATAGAGACATATTATCACATAAGTATTGTCTTCAAATGATTTAGAATATACAAATTTATCTCAATAATTAATTGTATAACCATTTGAGACTAACACTTGGATAAACTTCTCATGCCATTGTTTTGGTGCCTATTTAAGTCCATAAAGAGACTTTACTAGTTTGCATACTTTATGCTCATTACCTGGGATAACACAACCCTCTAGTTGTTTCATATAAATTTTTTCATCTAGGTCTCTATTAAGAAAAGCTGTCTTTACATCCACTTGATGTATATGTAATTTGTAAATTGCAGCTAAAGCAATTAACACTCTAATTGATGCTATTCTTGTTACAGGAGCATAAATGTCAAAATAATATATATCTTTCTTTTGTGTATAACCTTGGGCAACCAATCTTGCCTTGTATTTATCAAATGATCCATCAGTCTTTAATTTCTTTTTAAATATCCATTTGCACCCTATTGGTTTAGTTCCTGGAGGCAAATTAACTACTTCCCATGTATGATTACTCATAATGGACTCAATTTCATTGTTTACTGCCTCTTTCTAAAGGGATGCATCACGAGAAGTCATTGCTTCTTCATAAGTCTGAGGATCATTCTCTGTAAGAAAGACATAGTAATCATCACCAAAACTTTTGGCTTTTCTTACTGTCTTACTTCTCCTTATTTCTAACTCTGAACTTTCAGAAGAATTCCAAAGAGTTTCATTTTGAGGAGAACTCTCCAAAGTTTCATTTTGAGGTAAAGTCTTTTCATAATTTATTTTCTTAGGAAAAACATTCTCAAAGAATCTGCGTTTTTAGATTCAATGATTGTGTTTGCATCATACAAACCAACCTCTTGCTTTATTACCATGAATCTATAAGTAGCATTGTTCTAAGCATAACCTATAAACATACAATCAACAGTCCTGGGTCCTAACCTTTTCATTTTAGGTTCAGGAATTAGGACTTTAACAAAACACCCCTACACTTTAAAATATTTCAAGTTAGGTAAATGACCTTTCCAGTGTTCATATGGTGTTTTGCCAGTTTTCTTAAAAGGAATTATGTTTTGTATGTAACAAGTTGAAAGCATTGCTTCCCCCCACAAATTAAAAGGTGCTCCAGAACTAATCAACATAGCATTCACCATTTCTTTTAAAGTTCTGTTTTTCCTCTCAGCAACTCCATTAGACTATGGAGAATAAGGAGGTGTAATCTCATGTATAATACCATGATCTCTACAAAAAGAATCAAAGTCATTTGACTCATATTCACCTCCTCTATCTGTTCTTAATCTTTTAATTTTCTTATTGAGTTGATTTTCAACTTCATTTTTATATGTTAAGAACATTTTAATTGCTTCATCTTTACTTCTCAATAAGTATACTATAGTATATATAGAGTGATCATCAATAAAAGTTATATAAAACTTTTTTCCTCCTCTGGTCATGGTTTGTTTCAAATCTCCAAGATCACTGTGAATTAAACCGAGAAGCTCGTTTTCTCATTCTAGAATTGGTTTACAAGTCTTTTTAGTGGATTTAGATTCCACACACACATCACATTTATCAATATTTGAAATATTGACATTTGATAATAAACCAAGTTCTTTTATCTTTTTCAGATAACCATAATTCACATGACCTAATCTACCATGCCATAAATCTATTGAATCAATAACATAAGCAGAAGAAGATGTGTTTTCATTCATAATAACATTAAGTACATTGAGTTCAATAGCTCTCCAGAACAATACCCCTTCCCAACAAAAGCCTCATTTTTGGACATTACAATTTTTTCACCCTCAAAGGAGACTTTGACTCCAACCTTTCCCAATACATAAACAGATACAAGATTATATCAAATGTTTGGAACATGTAAAACATTACTCAGTGAGAGGGTTTTCCCAAAAGTAAGTTTGAGAAGAATTTTCCCCTTTCCCAAAACAAGAGTAGAGCGAGAATCACCAAGGTAAACACATTCTTCTCCATCCTTCACTGGTATGTATTCATAGAAAGAATTTCTATCTCCGCAAATATGCTTTATGGCCTCAAAATCAATTATCCATTCTTTCTTTTGAGCAATCATGTTCACTTGTGAGACAACCACAACAGCAATAACATCATCTCCCTTAGCCAGATTGGCTTTAGGAGGATTTTTGTTGTCTCCAGTTTTTCTGTATCTACATTGGCTAGCAAAATGTCTGGTTTTCCCACACACAAAACAGTGTCCTTTCTTTTTGAAAGTGTTGAGATTCTTGTTCTTAAACAACTTCTTGTTATTGTTCTTAAAACTCTACGATTTCTTGTTCTTAGGTTGAGGAGGAGCCACTTGGTTTTCAACAACATTAGCCTTGGATGTCAATTCCTTGGCCTTATCGGCTTTATCTCTAAGCCTATTCGTCTCCTCAATCCTAATATGTACTATCACATCTTCTAAGCTCATTTGCTTCCGCTTATGTTTCATACTATTCTTATAATCTCTCCATGAATCTAGAAGTTTCTCAATTAAACAGCCAGCCACAAAAGTTTCAGGAAGAATTATTTCTTCATTTTTCAAGTCTTTTATCAATAAATGATAGTCATGGACTTGCATGAATACCTCTTTTTCTTCTACCATTTTAAAATCTAGGAAGTTTCCTATGGCATAATTTTGTGATCCAACATTCTCAACAACATATTTCTTTTTCAAGATTGTTCATTTTCTTTTTCAAGATTGTTCATATCTCATGTGCAGTTTTATAAGCGCAATAAACGTCATAAAGCTCATTCGATAATGTACTGAGGATAGTATGACGACATACCTTATTTCATTTCTTCCATGTGTCAACTTTTTATCAAAATTGTCTACTCTAGGTTTTGGTTCTTCTGATGTGAGGTACTTTGCAAAACTGAGCACATCTAGGGAGTCGAACACTTTTTCTTGCCACCTTTTGAAATGAGCTCCGACAAAGGGTTGAATTTTGGAGATGTCAGGAAGAGACTTGGCGGTAAGAATTGTAGTGTCTATTTTAGCAAATTTGACTTAAGATTATGATCTTAAGATTGTTGAAATTTTAATACAAATAAGCAATAAAACAGCAGCAACAAAACAATGGAAGAACAACAACAAAATAGCAAAAGAATAGTAATAAAACAGAAAGGAAAACAGTAGCAATACAACAACGAGAATAGCAGGAAAAACTATAGCTAGAATAGCAAGAAAACAGCAACAAGAATAGCAGGAAAACAGCAAAAATAGTAATGATACAGCAATAAAACAGCAACAAAACCACAGCAAAACAACAACGATGCAGCAACGTCAAGGCGTGCAAAAGCACTGTCCTTAAGATCAAAATTCCACCCCTGCTGAAAGTATCTCCGTGGTGCAAAAAATCTCAACAGCGGACTGGCCTCCAAGATACAATGACAAATCTCTTTTTAGAGTGCACACTTTAAGAAAGATTCAGAACAGTATAAGGAAATGTAATAGTGGTGAAGGAGAGCTGGAAAGTTAAAAAAACATAGAGGAAACAAGGATTTTTCAAGTGAAAATTATGTTTTTCAAATGAGAAAACTACCCATTTCTATACTTGAAAATCTGCCCGTTTTCCCTTAACTCAGTCTTGTTGTAACCGAAGTCAATCAATTGCTTTTAAAACCATAATAGCCCAATAATGATTTGAATTGCAATAACTGCAACAATTCAATTGCTTTTAATACATAACAATCCAAAAATCAATTAAAATATTCAATTGCTTTTAACACATAACAGTCCAAAAGCAATTAAAACTTGGTATTTTGAAATACCATAACAACAGCTATTACCACATTTATTTATTTCTTTTATCTTTTAGCAGTTTTACCATCATCTTTATATATTGATAAATAATATCAAACCTAATATCCAAATGTTAAAAATTTAGTAACCAACTTAAGAACAAATTATATGATGATAATATCATAATTAATTATCACTTTGTTTTCCCATAATGTTGATGTATTTATTAATTTCTTTTATTAATACAAATTTTATCACCATTTTTTTAATTGGAAATTTTTAGATATCTATATTTACTTTTATCATATTCATATTGATAAAACTCAATAAACATATAACATGGATAAAGTCTACATTAAAATTTCAATAACTTAGTTAAAGAAATATTATTAGGATATATTTGATATATTATATTATGATCGTACCATAATTTATTATCACTTTTTTAACCTATAATGTTGATTTATTTTTTAGTTCATCTTACTTTCAAATTTTTATCACTTTTTTTTAATGGGTAATTTATAAATATCTATATTTAGTTTTATTATATTGATATTGATAAGAAAACAAAAATAGAAATGATATCTAATTTAAAAATTCAATAACTAACTTAAATAAATAGTATTGTGATATACATCATACATATTATAGAGTAAACGACATGTTCCCACCCAAGGTTTAGCAAAATGGCAAGTTCTCACCCCTGATTTCATATATTCCAGATTTCTACCCTTAAATTAACAGAGTTTTGTTTCTTTTAACTGTTAAATGTTAAAATGGTCATTTACTATATTTTAAATTTATGCAAAAACATCTCTCTCAACTTTGGGTCTCTAGCCGACACCCTCGCCAATCCTTAGTGCCATCTCCAGCATCAAATCTCAGCTCCCTTGCTCCAGTTCAACTCCTAGCCATCCTGCTCATCATTCTCAGTTTGTTCGCGCCACAACCAGCCCTTTTCCTTGTGTCGTAACCAGCTCCCAAGCAGGGAAGGTCGTGTGCGCTATTGAGAGCACACGTTCAGGTTTGGGCAAAGACAGAGGGGGTTTTGTTTGAGGCAATTTAACAAACAACTAGTGGGCAAGGTGGAGGGTTGGGGGAAAATAGTTATGGTGGTGGCTGGAAAAACTAATTAAAACTCAAAATCACAGCAAATCAATCAAACAATCAACACACTTCCAAAATCAATCAACACCAACACCAATTAACAACAAACTGACCTCCAATTTTACCCAAAAATTGACAAAATCGTGAAACCCAAAGTGGGATGGTGGCTAGCGAACGATGAGGTACCATGGTCGGGGATGATAGGGCTTTTTGTGGGGGTTGGCTAGTGAACACAACAGTGGTCTCAAAAAAGGTTTCTGACGATGGAATCAACAAAAAAGAGGAATGTTCGCAAGACACAAATGGGAGGCCAGTGGCCGACAACGATGGGTTCAAAACGTCGAGAAGGTTGGGGGTTTTGTTGGGGAGATCAAGGGCTTGAAGATGGTGGGTTAGGGGTACCGACAGTCCATAATAAGGCCAATTTGACCTGAGATTGACAGTCGTGCAGTGTGGGTGTGGGGGTGGGTGCAAGAAAATAGTAGAATTCGGTCAGATTTTTGGTTAAATGAGAACGGGGAAAGTGCAATCGAAAATGGAGAAGAGTTCTTGCCCTGATTGGTGAAGAAAGTTGGTTGGGGGGCAGCCAAAAGGCCGACAACAGTGAAGAAGAAAAGCGACTATGATAATAACGGAGGAGGGGAGATAAAGAAGAAGAAGAAGAAGATGGGAGGGCGGTTTGGTAATAGCACTCTCTGCATCTGTGTTAGAATCCAACAATCACTAACAATGTTACTTAAAGGGTGACAATTTGGAATTTATGAAATCAGGGGTTGGAACTTACTATTTCGCTAAACCTTGGGTGGGAACATGTCGTTTACTCTATATTATAAGATGAACTAACTTTCATAAATGCTATCTATTTTGAGATTTTAGACGGGGAAGTTTGAATGGATTAATGTAGTTAAATCTGAAAAATATTTTATGTTTATGGAATCTAAACATTGACGAAATAAAGTTATCTTTATAATATCAACTCTATAATTTTGTATTTGTTATTTATATATATACTTTGTATTATATTAAAAGATAATATAGAACCCAAACAAATCATAGTACGATATTTTGTGTTACATGATTATATCATTATAGCATATAATTTTTTTATTTTGAAAATATCCCAAAATATTTATAAAATTATATAGGTAAAATATGGATATTGATTCATGATCTTTTAACTACATTTAAAATTGTGTAAACGAATTTCTACCCATTTATCAATTCTATAAATATAACTATAAAGGGTTTGCTTGGGAGTTTTTTTTTCACTGGTTTTGGGAGGTTTTTAATTAGACTGGTTTTGAGGTGTTTAAAAACCATTACTTGCCAGATTTTTTATAGACTGGTTTTTACTGGTTTAAAAATCCCCAAATACTAGTGTAGTGTATTTTTTAGAGGTTTATAAAACACCCCAAATCGGGGTGTTTTGGCTGGTTTAAAAATTTTATCCCCAAAAAAACCCTTTCCACTATTATTCATATACAATAATCCCTTTGCTAGTTTAAAAATTTCTTCAAACCTCATTCAATCTTCAACTGTTAGATGACTATTACAATGCTTTTGAATCTTTTATCTTAGGCTTTCTAATCCCTCATTAGAGATATGAAGGTTTTTCTTTCTTTCTTCTTCATTTTCCCCTTCAACTTTTTTTTCTTTTAATCTGGAAAACTCCTCTGCAGGCTATATACAATTTAATTGCATTTCTTTACCAGTTGTTTTACAAAATTAGGTGGTTTTTCCTCTATTTGATTCTTTCTATTTGCGTTTAGGTGATTGATTGAATCCTTGTCAGTTTGTTAAATAAAGATTGTTTTTTATGGCTTTGCTTCACTGATTGAAGAAAAGAACGAAAAACTGTTTTTTAGAAATGCTGTTACGGTTGTTATATTGATAATTTGTGAAGTCCAATATTGTGGTAGCATATTTATTCTCTTAAAATGACAAATTTCGAATGATTGTGTGATGAATTAAATAATATACAATGAAAGAACTTACAAATAAATTAAACTTGGAAGGAACTTTGATATTAAGTATTGGTAATTGAAAAAAAAAAACTCCCAAATACTGGTTGACGTTAGGGTATTTTTATGGGCTATATATAAATTTATCATTTTAAAAAACTGTCAGAACCGCTGGAAAATAAACTCCCAAGCACAGGTTGGGTGTTTTAAAAACCGTTACTAAAAACCCCTCAAAACCGCTACGATGGTTTACCCCCAAAACCGCTACGATGATTTACCCTCATAACCGCTACCATAAAACTCCCAAGCAGTCCCTAAAAGTATTTTAATTATATATATACACACTACTGAGGTATCCATGGTTATTGATTTTGATTTTAGATATATATATATACACACACACTACTGAGGTATCCATGGTTATTGATTTTGATTTTTAGTTACTATAGTTTCAAAAAAATAATGTTTTAGTTAACAACATTTTCCTTCTTGATGTTTAATTTAAAATGTTAAGTTGAAGTTTTAAAAGTATATTAAACTAGTTTAAGGCCTGCACATTACGCGGGATGCTTTTGAAAAAATTTTTGGACATATTGTTTATCTTTTGGATTGTTTATTTATTTATGAATTTTATATGAAAAAACAATATTTTATTGCAGGCATTTTTTGATACACTAGATAAAAGATTTTCATATTGTATTAAAGAATAATATTTTATTTTAACTGCATATTAATTTTATGTGAAAAAACAATATCTTACTGTATTTATTTGATGATATATTGGATAATAGA